ATGTTTGAAGTAAAGAAAATAATAACATAAAATTTTCATTTTAATTTTGTAATTTATATTTTTTTAAATATTTTTAATGTTAAAGGAAAGATTTCATATGTCTGAAATATTTTTTTATTACGTTGGCTTAGAAGCATGACTATTTTTAACGGCAAATGGTTTAGTTGAAATCAAATGTTATTTATAAATCTATAGGGTTTTTTCATATTAATAGTTGTATTTAATAAACAATTTATCTTTCAAATTGATATATAAACATTTTTATTATTATCTAATTAAAACCATAATTTTTCCAAGATAACTTATTTTGCATTCATACAAGGTTAGACTTTGAGGGGCAATAAAAAATCATGAAATTATAAAAAATTAAGCAAAAATTTGTTTTATGAATTTTTCAAATATTTGAGAATACAATCTAATACATACTTAGTTTGGATATCTAATTTAAAATGTTTAAAAATACAAGTCAATAAAATGGTAATTGTGAACGTTTGCGTTCGACATGTCACCTTCGACCCAGATTAAAACTGGAAAAAAAGAGCTATTCATTATATTTATTTCATTTAAAAAGCGACTTATGTACGAATGTCACATTCGTCACTAGAGAATTGTTAATATGTATGTTAGAGGCAATTAAAGTATGAAAATAAGTATTTATTTCAAGGTAAATTTTCGTTGGTGTTGGTGACGAAGGAAGGATGCATTTGAGGATTCCGAGTTTCGCGACTTTATAAAACTACGCGATCGTCGTTACAAATTACCCTCGTGGATTACCCTTTCTAATGTCATAATGACAAATTTATTTGTCAAACAAATAACGGCAATTTTTACAGATAATTTAAGCTCAATAATCAAAGCGTGTGAACTGCTTTAAAAAATGCATTTACCCTATGCAAGATTGTATTAAGCTGAACTGCAAGTCCATAGTAGCGTTCTTAATGAAGCAATAAATTTGCAATTTGAAATTAGTTCAAAAGATAGCATAACGAAAGTAAAATAATAGACGTTATTCCCAATTTTTTTTTTTGCATTTTTGCTTCATCCACGGAGTCAGAGCGATCGTTCAGCAAAGCTGGACAGCTAAAAACGGAACGATGAGCTGCCTTAAAAGCAAAGGATGCTCCTTTTACTTCATCATAGTTCTGGATTCTTGGCTGAAGACTGAAAGCCATAGATTTTATTTTAATTTAATTCAAACTTGTTTTCGAAGCATCTCATTACGTTAAACAATTTTAAATCTTTATTTTATTTGTTACATATGCATTTATTTAATTTAATTTTTTTATATTGAATATATTCGATAGTATGGCCGAATACTATTGAATATTTATTGTAGAACAATCGAATATTGCAGTCATCGACAGTATATATATATACTGAACTTATAGTTTGTAGTTTATACGATCAAAGTTTTTGTTCAGTTTGTTTACTTTGATTCATTTTAATTTTTATCTTGCCTTAAGTTAAATAAAAGAACATATATGAATTACTTATTTCATAGTTTTTTGGTAGCGATATTATCGATACTGTTAAACAATCGACAGTATCGAAACGGACCAATATCGATATTTTGTCAGCTCTATTTGGAATGCCAACCAGCTGTTAAATTTTATGTGGTGGTTGGTCGATAGCTTCGAAATTGGATCATTCTTATAAAGGTAAAAATACCAACTTCAACGTAAGTAAACGTAGACTTTGCGACGTTGGTGAATAACGTATATAAATTTATCTTTATTAAATGGCACTGACATCACATGTATTATACGTATTTTATAGTTTAAATTTTCTTAATAAAAAGAACACTTTTAAAGTTTAAGCGAAAAAGGAAATTATTAAAATTTAAAGTAGACATAATATTTCCTGATTCATAATTGAAGAAAAATAATTATTATTATATTACAAACAGATCAAGTGCTAAATGCTTAAGAAGTCGTGAAAGTCCATTTTCGGAGATGGATTCAGGTGGATTGCACATAAGTTGTTAATTACAAAATATAGCTCATTCAAATATTTTAATTATATATTCAAAAGATATGATTTCATTTGGAAATAAGACTTAAATTGTATGATATAATCAAATGGGTAAAAATTAAGAGTATCCATTTAATAAAGCAAAACGAGAGCGCTTCAGTTCGGTTTCTGTAGTCTGTTCTAAATACAGTAAACGTATCAAAACATCACTAAACACGCAAAGGCAATTAAAATTGTTTTAAAACATGCAAACTCCTACAAGTAATACGCTCTTGCAACGGCGCACAGCGCACAGCTATCCGGGGTGTTGGGCTAAGCAACTTAAATAGCAGCCAAGAAATCCCAGCGACTTCTCTGGAGGCTGCTCGACGGCGGTATACACTATGCGCACATGCACATGTGTTCGAGCAGTGGAAATATGTCGGAAGAAGTTCTCCCCATTTGAGTAATGGAAAGTCAAGGCATTGACTGCCATGCAACATTCTATGGTAGGGTGTCTTTCATTTATCCCTACACGAAATCTAATTCAATTAAGCAAAGTTAATAGCCTTTGCGCAACATACGTCACCGTCAATGCAGACCCATTGTATGTAATTGATCTTTGCCCACTGATTGCTCTCCATGGCTGAGGCTGAGGCTAGAGCTCTGTGGTCATTATATGAGCGAGCGAGCGAGCTAGCGACCGAGCGAGGCTTTTCAAATCGAATCGTAAAGGATTATTCAGCTGCACTACAGCAGCAGCAGGCGTGCTAAACAAGTCCGCGAATGCTTCGAATTGCTTGTTGCATATGATAAGGAAAAAAAAATATGTCTGGATTGTGTTTGTTACCATTCCCACACATTGGCAAATGGAATTTAAGAATCGTATTTAAATAGCTCTGCCCCTTCACTTGAGCAGAACAACATGCAAATACTAGACCAGGGGCTACCGATCGTCGTTCTTAAGTGGCCCAAATAGCGACTATAAGTATCACAGCAACAACTCAGTTTAGATAATTTGATGTTAAGAGAACTTAAACGACTAACATTATGTTAACATACATTTAACGATTAAGACTACAACATAATGTTAATTGAAGTGTCACTGGAAAGTGTTTGAATAGCCTAGGTAGCATAGGTGGATTCAGGCTAATCAAGTGATATGGCGATAAGTTAATTTAGACAAATGTTTTAATCGTCACATTAATGGCTTGGCATATTTTAGAGAAAATGCGTTGCATTAGCATCGACACCTGCTCATCGGCGTTGCCGATCCGGTTATGGCCTTAACTTCGTAGGCCATTAAAAAAATAAGCATGGCTTCATCTTCGGCAGAAGACAGGCGAGCGTATAAAAGGTAACTAAGTAAATGGCTTCAGCGGCTGGCGTTGACTAAGCGCAAGAACTATTATTTCTAATTTAGATGAAAGCTGAATTTATTAAATTATGTTTTATAGATTATATATGGTATGCGATAGAGACTGTCTAAAAAGCTTAATATGTTCATACATATGTATATATTTTTGCACGTATTTATTATGTTAAACATTTTTTGTCATTTCATACATATAGATGTCAAGCTTGACTAGACGTGCAAATATTTGATACCATTCGCAATATTCATGTACTTATATATATGTACATATATAGGTATGTCTATGTGCACATACACACAGCTATACAGGTGTTTAATGACAATCATGTGGCTGTGATTTATGCAAATGTTGAAGCACAACTGCAATAGCCAAATACTTGGCCATTTTAAGAAAAATGTGGCAAAGTATTAAATAGACTGGCAGCAAAAGACAAAAAAAAAAAAAAAAAAAAAAAAAAAAAAAAAAAAAAAAAAAAAAAAAAAACTAAGCAAAGACAGACAAAAAAGACAGAAAACGGACTCGCAGCTAAGCAACGCATAATGCAAGTAACCTGCCTTTCTGCAACTTCATTCATTTAATGCGGCAAAAAGTAGGGGCCCCAGTGCTTAGCTTAACTTTGCTCGCCAGCACTGCGAAGCAATAAAAGAAAAAAAAATAACACCAGCAACAACAAAAATAACAACAATGCAACAACAACAATAAGAGCAACAAAACACGCTAACCAATAAAACAATTGAGAAGCTGTAAAAACCACAACAAAGAAGAAGAGTTCCGAAAACAGGTTTTTAACACAACATAACTGAAACAAGTTGGAGCTGTTTATTGAATGTTAACTTAACAGGCGACTGTTAACGGGCTGTTAACCGTTTAGAGTTCGCATTTCATTGGCTTTCCATATGCTGCACCTGCAGATCGCGATCAAATAAATACAAATATGTCAACACTTAGCGCCATTTGAATAGGGCTGATTGAAATTCTTGTCGTATGTGCAGGAAAGTAAAAAGTAATAAATATAATGTGTTAGAATAATAAATGACTTTAGACAATATGTATTATCTATCAAATAGAATTATTATTATWATTAATATTTTCATCAACTATTTCTAGGCACACACCAACACCAACACATATGCATGTACACATAGTTGTGTATAAATACTTATTTGTACATAATCCTTTTACTTGTATCACTAGCTGAACAACTACTAGAAAACCAGTTTCTGTTTACCACAAGCAAACCAGATTTCTTAACCGTTTCGAACCGAGCGCCCACTTGTTGCCGTGTTGCTGCCATGGTCGCCAAAGTCAGTTCTACGCCAGCTACCTGTGATTTCAGGTGTTATAATTGTCGTACGCGCTTGGCACAAGCTATTTCATACGAATACTTCGCGCTAGTCCCAGCCGCTTCACAAATATGTCTGCACAAAACGAACTGTAAAAATCAAGTCTGCCAAACTGCCAAACAACGACAGCTCTTGGGATTATTAATCAACGGAATTCCTTCTAAGTAGTGTTGTTTCATTTTGGCTGCAAATGAAGGCTTTCGTTCTAATGATGTTCGCAATTTTGTGAAATAAATTATAATTCAAGAAGAAGTTACAACAAAGGTAACGAACGAATGGAGTTTTATATAACAATATTCTGTTAAGTTCCCATGTCGAAATCGTGTGCATAAAATGTGAGTGAGTTGATGAAAGATGCTTGAATGGCCGTTTCATTTGCACTTTCTTTTTCGAAAAGCAAGCAAACCTGCTAATGCAGGAAACGAAAATACAAAATAAATCAAAAGTGAAATCTTTGTGAAATTAGCCAAAATAGCCAAGATACCCAAAAGATGACAGCTTCAACGTTCTACATAAATGATAATAATTTTCATAATAATAATATGTAGTTCTATTAAGTCATACCAACTTAGAACAAGTGTGTGTGTGTGCGTTTGATTCATTGTTTGATGCTTGCCTGATTCATTGCATTGCATTTCCGTCGGCTCTAATTGTAGGACGTCTTGGGTTACTTTGGCTGACCCCAATTTCGCTTGGGAAAAGCAATATTATGTTGGGGTTGTCTATTGGGGTCATGTGTGGAGAGCGTTTGCAAATAAACTGCTGCCGCAGCTGCTGCTGTGGCTGCTATCACAAGTACACTTAGACTGAGAGAGGGAGAGACAACGAAAGAGAGAGAGAGAGAGAGAGAAGAGGAAGAGAGGTAGAGGTAGATGGAGAGACATCCCAGACGACGTACAAAAATCAACTTGCCACACTACTTTTACTCCCTGTTGTTGTTGTTGTATTGTGTTGCACGTTTTGCGAATTTTTTAGCAGGTTAAAATGATTTTTTGGACAACTCGTGTGGGTGTGTGTCTCTCTCCCTCTCTTTCTCTCTTTGTGTGTGTACTCGGCCATTGCCATGTTGGCAAAAGTGAAAACCTAATCTATGCAAATCCTGAAAACAAATCGACTACCGGTGCACATAAATATTTATGCACATAAATATATATAGGTATAATTAATTTTAACGAGTATAAAAACTCTTGAACATGGTCAACAAGGAAAACAAGTCTCTCTATTGTTATTTGTCTTGCTCGCTGGCTGTGCTCATCCCAAATTTCGCAAGAAAAATCAAGTGAAAGTTATCCTTATCAAACCGGATTCGTGCCGGACCTAACATAACACACAACTAATCGATACTAAATATGATGGGAAAATATGAATAAAATAGTAATCAACAGAGGAGGAGAATAAGAATGACTTGTAAAAACTGAAATCTACATAAGATCGCAATCAGAAACTAGGAAATGTATTGGCAAGAGCCAAATTCAGAAACTTGTTTTTTTTTTTTTTTTCTGGAGAATATTAAAAAACTTGTTGGCTAAATATTCTTTGTGCTTTAATAAGTAAACGCTTTTTGCACACCAACACTTTTTATAGACATGGCATATAGATAGCATTGGCAATATTCGCGAAACAGCGGATCTAAGTACATACATATATATACATATAGATATATTTATGTATATAGCTATGATTATGTATATTTGCGAATAAGTGCATTCGCACTGATGTGTGCACGTACACAGAGCGACATTTACATTTTTGCTGACTGGGACAGTTCGGCATAAATTTGTCTGTCGAAATTGTTAAAATGACACCGAGCTGAAATTTTCACGTGGCAAATCAAAAAAATTGATGTCTCCAAATGCCTCCGGTCTTGACGAACTTTTTGGCTCACATCTAAGTTTTAACCTTTGGCATACATATCATTGTCTTACCAGTTTGACCGCAATTCAAAGTTTCTCAAATATCTGAAACGAAGTATACACATGGGTAAATATATAAACAAATAAACAAACATACACTTAGGTTGTGCTGATAAATATGGTAAAAGCTTTGCATGATTGACTGGCGAAATCTCTGGCCTTCTCTACTGTAAGATACTGGGTTTTCTGATAGCATAAACGGTCGTACTTGTACAAATGCAAATAGGTGTTCAGTAAAGTTTCTATAATGCGGACAGTCGATAGTTTAAGCATTCACTTATAGAGAACTCGATAATTGTTTATAGTACTTTAGTAAAATATATGCATATCACAATAGCTTTCTGAGACGTGAGCTCTATACTCAACTAGCTGAGAACTGATTTTTATCGAGATCATAGTAAACGAAAATAATTTCGACCACTGGAAACTGCGCGTGCCATTATACATTTGTATATATGTGTAAAATTAGCAGTTCTGGCTCAGCTTGTTTTCAAGATCAATGCACTAGATCGCCTAGGAGGAGAAGGATTAAAACTATATATAGATTACATGCATTCAATAGGCGCACAGGGCTAACTCGAACATTATTAAAAATTTTAAAGTATATGCTAAAATTTAATTATTAGTGAATGTGGAACGCTAAAATTTCAAAAGTTAATGAATTAATATCATTAAAATAATAAAAATAATAATTATTATAGGAACTCAGTTATTTAGTGATTGATCCAATATTAGATACTGTTAAATAAAATAATAATAATATTCATCACATTTGAAATCAGTTTAAAAATGTAATACTTTAATTGCTTTGGGCCCTATTGCCAACTGTGCACAAACGACGTGTGAAGTTTTCCACGCAATATACCCAAGATTACGTTCATTTGTTGTTGTTGTTGCTGTTCTTGTTGAAGTTCGTCCATCGTTCGCGCATGTACAGTGTAGAAAATCTTATCTGTGAGTCCCAGAGGCCTTTATATGGACAGTTCTAAAGTGGGCAACAAGAAAAACGCGTAGACAGCTCCAAGATGGGCAAGTTAAATATTTATTGCATATTGATGTCATGCCATTTAAGGCTCTGCCAGCCACCTTTTTGCATATATAAATACATACTTATGTACAGCTGCTTTTGAAGATATCCTTAAGCAGCAGCAGCCGCAGTAGCATCAACTTGAGCGCAAAACTTGAATTTATGTTTGATTTATATGTATTTATGCAGCCGACATTTTATTGGCGTGCCAAAACTGGATTTACCATTATACATCATTCCTATTATCCTGCACTCAATTTGCATGCGTAGTATTGTTCAAATCAATATCAAGAGCTTGTTATTCCCATATCGTAAATCAAGAAACCAGTTTTCCAACACCCTGTGCTCAGTGTTAATGAGCATGCAGAACTCCACTCTCAACTACTTTTGAACCTTGGGCAATGTATGTTCTTCTTCAACTCACACCTAACCGCAAGCTGAGCAATCAATCAGTCAATCAATCAACACAGTTTGAGTCAATATTGAGCAACGAGAGTGTTTTTGAGCCCGGCTTTCAGAAAGTCGATGATATATGTGTATATATTGTAGTTTATACATATATATTAATAAAATAGTAAACATATAGTCCAACATAGTTAAGATACATATGTACAGTGTCTATATATAATATATATGTAAATTGGAATGTCTTATGACAAAATTTAATTCATTAATTCCATACAAATGGAAACAAATGCAATATTTGAAGATTCCCAAAATCTATTTAGTAATCATTTAATTAGGCCTGTAAATATATTAACACTACTAGTCATTGATCTCCCAAGCAGCATGCCATTGCAGCAAGTTCTTCAGTCTTTAAGTTAGTATTAATTGTAAGTAATCTCTAATACCTAAACAAATATGAAATTGAAATGGTTTTTAAATTATTTTTATATCTCTTTAAATTAGATATATTGTATATACATATTTAAAATATAAAGTTCAAGTTGATTCTAAGATATATATTTAATATACCAACTGTGTTATATATATATATATATTATATATTTATAATTTCTTCTAAAATGTTTTAAATATATTGTATATTTACTGAATAAGTGCATATATTTAAATCATTTTCATGCATATGATTCCAGAAGTAAATTCAAGTATTCACCAACATTAAATTTACAAATTTCATTTCACTTAATCTTTGACTAAACTTTCCATTATTCAATTGGTGCAAGTCAACATTCCTGTTCTTCCAAAAAAAAAAAAAAAAAGAAAAAAAAAACTAACTAAAATTACAATAAACTAGTTAGGTCGCAATGTTGTAGGCACTTTTATCAGATATTTGAATCTTGTTTAAATGTAGATCTTAGGGTAGAAACTGCTTTCAATTTTGTTTCTTTTTCTTTTTTCGGCAGTTTTCTCAGTCATTATATCCACTAAAGAGCTATAAATTAAGCCCAAAATTAGGTGATATACATTTGGCTAATTAGACTTTCTACCTATTCTTTTGTTTTTCTTCTTCTTGCAGCTAAAATGATTTCACACCGTGCGACAACACCTTTGAGGCCATGTTTTCTCGGACTTCTTCTGCTGCTGTGCAGTTGCGAATATACAGTCGGTGTTCTGGGCAAATCGCAGATGTGCGAGGTGGAAACGGGCCAAACTAACATAATACTGGATATAGAAGAGAGTCGAGGGAACTGTAAGTAATCTAACTGTAGATGCCTCTATGCTCATTTAAGCAAATTGCTTCACATTTACTCGCTGCAGTCTGCATTTGTTAGATAATTGCATCGGAAGACTTCCGAGTCATTAAGCCTAATTATAAACACAAATTATAATAATTCAATGACAGATTATGCGGAGTTTAGCAAAGATTTGAAATTGAATCAGTTTAATATTTTATATCAATACTTTATGATATACCAAGTATAGATCGAAGAAACTTGAGTACACATATAAAAATAGCAATAGTACTTAAGTTATTAGACAGGAAAATGGAAATCCAACTCCGTAATTTCCGTTGTTCTTCTATGTCTGCCTTTGTGCACATTTTCCAATAATTACATCTGGCTTTCTAGATACTTGAATAGAAATGATTGTCTCAACTTCTTTCATATAACTAAATGCACCAGACACAAAGACAAAGAGAAAGGCTGATGTCTGAGGTCTGATGTCGACGCGTTTCTTGGCCGCCGAGGCGCTTGTCTTTAATAGCTAGTCTACCTGAGCTGTAAAAAAAAAAGAAACATTCTAAGCATTAAACTTGGTTTTAATAGCCTAATTATTCATTGTAATTATAACTTGTAACTTCCACAGTCACTGGACAAACGACGACGCCGGCAGAGCTGCCCATTTTTGGCGATCCCTACACGGAAATTGCGCTCGATCTAGTCTTTCCCAAGGGACACCCGACATTCCTACTAGAGGGGAAGAGTCTCAGGCTGATTCAGCCACTTGACCGCGACGAGGAGAATCTTAGTCACATTGTGTTTCAGGTGAGTCTTACCACAGCTTCTTCTTCGTTGGATTTCAGTTAATAATTCAGTTGAGTTTGCTTGAGCAAAGAATGGTTCCAAGAATTCATTTTGTATTTTATAAAATTTTTTCTTAGTCATATATTAAATATGATTTATGTAGCTAAAATTAAAATATAAATTAATTAAATACTGAATTAATTCGCAGTACAATTCAGTTAATTGGAAAGCAAATATCAAGTCTTAAAAATAAAATCTTTTTTGAATTTCAAAAGAATTATTTTTTAAATAATTTATATTTGTGATGTCAATGTAATTCTCTATTTTTTTTTTTTAATTATTTTATGTTTTTATGTCTGCACATTTCTATTTCTTCTGTAAACGCATTCCGACCTCATCATAATCTCATTATAGTCTTTGAGGTTAGACTTCTTCAAGCCGAGTCTCGCTATATATAATATAAGAACATAATTGCTTATACTTAAATATTTTTATTGTTTTGCTTCAGGTCTCATGCACCATTCGCGAGTCAAACAAAAAGCGTAACATCCCGCTCATTGTTAGGGTTTCCGATGTCAACGACAATGCACCACATTTTATGAACACACCCTATGAGATCACAGTACCAGAGGTAAGTCGATGTTTTTAAATGTTTCAAATATACATATATATATGAAGTATATAAAGTTTCGCGATTAACAATAGGTAATATTATCTCAGTAAACGATCTATATTTGGTACTCAAACATGAAAACGAGTTCTTGGATAAAGATTAAGATAAAACCCGTTTATAGGTAAATCATGAAATTTATTCTAAGCCAAAGACAGATTAAATTCATACTGAAATTTGGCTAAATGTATTGATGCACGGTAGTTTATATGGCTAATCATATACGATATTCCATATACGATTGCTTTACGATATTAACATTTCGCTGCTACAAAAAGCTTTGCTGCAGTCTCGTTGCCCCTTGCGATGGGTATTCAAGCTTGAAACATTCCTTGATATGTTGCACCTTGCCAAAAATCGTCTACTACAAGCTCCCAAACAGCTAAACAGCAACAGCCAGAGCAACTGTAACTGCAACAGCAACTGCAACAAATGCATTTGCCATTTAATATATATGTACTAGGCAGGTAGAGAGACCAATTGAAAAGTTCAATCCGATGACTAAGTAACTTCTCGCCAGCAACCAGCAGCAAGCAGCAGTAAGTTAGCAGCCAGCAGCAGGCGATCGATGGGGCAGCTGGGCAGGTAAGAGGTAACCCTGAAGAGGTAAGAGGCACATGGGCCACTTGTATGCGGCGGGGCCAGCATACAGACTCGCATTACAAGCCTACATAGTGATAGTTAAATGTAAAAGGCTGTTTGCCTCTTGCCCGTTATATAACTGCACTTTTGGTGCATCTCAATGTGGCTGGGCACGTTTTGTCACCCAGCTTGTTTTTTTTTGTTTCGTTGGCTTTTGCCGCCAATACTGTCCGCACCGTCCGCCCCTTTTTCCCCATTTGCCCCGTCTGTCCTGACTAACCCATCCGGGTAGTTTGGGTAGCTTAACAATAGCAATGCTCTCGCTACCTAATTTTCATGAACATGCCATTTTTGGTTTCCGGCGCATCGTATTTAGCATATTTGCACGGCATAAAACGGTAACAATCATTATCGTAACTTTTATTGTTTCTTCATCTATAAGTCAAATGTATCTACATTGCGCGGCCTGATCTAAGGTTTCTTTCCTTTTGGTCTGTCTAGGGCATTGCAAAAGACTAGATGAAAATAAGGAAAAGAAAAACTCGACTTACATAAATGAAATATTGTTTCTCCAAAACAAATAATTCTTTGTAGAGCACTCCCTTGGGAACGACTGTGTATCGGAACATACAGGCCCTCGACAAAGATGCTGGCGTGAATGGACTAGTCGAGTATTTTATAGTTAAGGGCGATGCGAACTCCACCGAGGATGAGAAGCTAACCAGCGCCGATGGCTATGGAACCTTTGCCATATCATTTCCACACCAAGGACAGGTTAGCTACAAGCCCGACCAACACATGGCTTTGATAATGGAAGGCAATTGGCCTTGACACGCCCTTATTTACAGGTGACAGTAGCCAAGACACTGGATTACGAAAAGATACAGCGCTATTATCTGACCATTGTAGCATCGGTGAGTTCAGTTTAATGGCCACAAACTGGTTATTTAAGCCAATTCCAGTTTCTTTGTTTATGTCAAGACATGTTTTTGATATATCAACATTTAAAGTGCTAAAACAAACAACAAATCTGAGTCATGGGATATTAAATTAAACTTTTGTAGTGATTAACAAACAAACATAGTGAGGCCAATGCTTTAATCCGTTGGACTAAGTATGTAAATATTAATACTAATTCAAATTATATGGCTCAACACAATTTTTTAATCGAGAATCAAACTCTAATTTTTCGTTAGATTATTCGTTAATTGTTTTAAAGTATTTTAACCTACATCTCAATATTAAAAAAAGTCAATTATAACTATCTATATATGTAGATCTATAACTAAATATAAAATTTATATGCCTTTGTCTTCACTTTTCAGTTTATTAATAGCTTATAAATATTTATTTATTTATTAGCAAAGTATTATCCATACCTATTCTAAATCCTCTTTGTTTATTTCCTGTAGGACCGTGCGCGAAATGTCGCAGATCGCCTGTCTTCGACCACCACGCTTACTGTAAACATCGCCGACTCCGATGATATGGATCCGTCTTTCATCTATCGTGGATGCGTGCTATTGGATGGTGCTTGTATTAATCCCGAGTATACGGCATCAGTGCCGGCAGGCTCGGTACAGGGCGTGCTTAATGTTCTACCCGAACGAATACAGGCCGTGGATTTGGACACGATTAGTTCGCGAATACGTTATAGTTTTGCAAGTGGAGTGCCTGGCAATTACGCAGACTACTTTGAGATTGATGAGGAGACCGGAGTGTTGAAGCAAATCAAAGCTGTTGATACATCGACAGCGAAACGATACGACATTGTAGTGCGAGCCGAAGAAATCTCACCACCGCCTCGTCGCTTCACGACGGCTAAACTGACGATTGCTGTGAAGCCTGTGGACGCAAATCCACCGGTTATATCGTCGTCTGATATTGTGGGATATGTGGACGAGAACTCACCCATCGGTACCAAAGTTGTGGATGCGAAAGGGGTGCCAATTACGTTAAGGACAACCGATGATGATTTGGGTGAAGACGATCCCAAACCCGACTACATATACGAGCTGACGACTCCATCGTTCAACGTGACAAGCTCTGGAGTTCTGATTGTTAACGAGGAGGGTCTCGACCGTGATCCGCCTGCACCGGGGCGCTATAAGTTCCAGGTCGTGGCCCGAGAGCCTCGTACAAATGCAGCCAGTGCGCCCCTGAGCCTAATCGTACATCTGCGCGATGTCAACGACAACGCCCCAAAGTTGTCCATGGTTGCGCCTGTTTCTATATCGGCTGGGGATGAGCATGAGCAGCGACTGGTGGCACAAATGATGGCGACGGACATCGACGAGGGGCCCAACGCCGAAGTGACCTACTCAATATACCATGTCTCCAACAATGGCCTCCAAAAGTTCCATATCAACGAACAAACCGGCGAGATTCACACTCAGGGACGTCTGCTCGCCGGAGAGCAATACAGCATTACGGTGCAGGCGACAGACATTGGAGGTCTATCATCGCAGGCAATCGTGGAGGTAACTGTAACGCCGGGGCCCAACACGAAACCGCCTCGGTTTACTAACGCCCTCTACGAGGTGCAGGTCAGTGAGGGTGCCGAAATCAACTCTACGGTCACAGTGGTGCATGCAGACGACCCGGAAAACGATCCCGTTGTCTACTCGATTATGTCTGGCAATGATCTGCGGCAGTTTTCTGTTGGTCAACAGAGTGGAATCATCATGGTCATACGCAAGCTGGATCGCGAGAGCCTGACGCGCTATCAGCTAATTGTGAAGGCGGAGGACAATGGCGGGTTGTCCAGTAGTGCCACAGTCAACATTAAAGTCACCGATATCAATGACAAGAATCCCGAATTTGATGAGCTCACTCAGCCCTATGTATTCCATGTGGACGAGGGCTTGGACGATGCATTCGTGGGCATTGTACATGCCACGGATGCGGATGAGGGCATCAACGCTGAGATAACCTACTCTATACCCACAGATATTCCGTTCAGCATCAACAACAAGTCGGGCGAGATACGCACCTCCGACAAGTTGGACTACGAACGGTTGAGTGAATACAAGTTTGTGGTCACAGCCAAAGATGGTGCGCCCGATGCACGGCTGGGAACAGCTAGTGTCACGGTCATTATTCACGATCTACCCGACGAAGTGCCGAAGTTCAACGATGCGAGCATCAATGTACGCATTCCAGAGAACATGGAAAACTTTCCGGTGGCCACAGTTCAAGCCCATGATCCGGACTCCGTTCCAGAAATCACTTACGTGCTGCGAAAGGGCGACGCCGAGCTGTTTAAAGTCTCCCCCAAGACTGGAGAAGTTCGGACAACGAAGGGCTTGGACTATGAGAAGAAACAACAGCATCAGCTGGTTATCGGGACAATTGAAAATGATGGCGATGCTCTCGGTGATACGGTGCAAATTATAGTAGAGGTCGAGGATCGCAATGATGTGAGTCCCGTGTTCATCTCAGTGCCCGGTCCGGTGACTGTGAACGATGACCAGCCCATTGGCTCAGTCATAGCAACGATGCCCGCCATTGATGGCGATGGAACTCCACCGGGCAACGTCGTTCGCTACGAGTTGGTGGGGCGTGGTAAGGCACTCAAATACTTCCAAATCGATCCAGACACGGGTGCAGTTCGCATTCGGGATGAGCTGCGCAAGGAGGAGGACACTGAATACCAAGTGGACATTCGAGCCTATGACATGGGCGATCCACAGCTCAGCTCTGTGGCCATGCTGCCAGTGTATGTTCGGCATCTGTTAGTTGATTCCAATGAGGAGAGCTTCATGGAAGGCAAGATGGACAATGACAAGGGCCTAGTCCCTAGCTCAGAGACAGTTGGACTGGCCTTTGGCGACGACAGCTACGTCATTAGTGTGCCAGAGTCAACGCCTGTGAATAGTACGCTGAAACTTATTCAAATCGTTAACTCGAAGAAGCCGTCCAAAGGGGCACCTAACTTCAAGTGCGAAATTGTTCGAGGCAATGAGTTGGGAATCTTCGAGCTGAGCTTCGAGGATTATGGTTGCCTGATAGTGCTGGCCAAGCCATTGGACTATGAAACAAAAACATCCTACACACTCGAGCTACAACTGGTCTCTCAGCGGTATTTTGTTAGTCCACGGAAGGATCGAACGACCGTCAATATCATGGTACAAGATGAGAACGACAATCCACCGGAGTTCATTTTCAATCGACTCCATGGCCAGAACGAAACATATTACGCTGTGGTCACATCGGAAATGGACATTGACACAACCGTACTGCAAGTACGAGCCATCGATCGGGACTCGGGTAAATTTGGGTCATTGAGATACAAGCTCTACGATGAAGAGGACTTTAGCAACGAGAACGATCAATTGGTAAGTAATCAGCTAGCTCCTTTCAATGCGAAGTTATTAACTCCAGTATTATTGCAGCCATCCACGTACTTCAGACTGACCGAGGATACGGGCATTTTGAGTACCGCAAAACTTTTCAGTGATGCCAAGTTCCCCATGATATTCTACGTGGAGGCGAGTGATAACGATGCCCAAGAGCAGGGGTCGCATCACACTAGAGCACGCGTCGTCATCAATCAGTTGACAGACGCAAGCCGTTTGGCCTTGGCCTTCTCAGATGCTGCTCCGAATAAGATCCGGAATCACTACACAGGATTGGAGGAGCTTTTCGAGGAGCAAACCAAAGGATTAGTCAGTGGCATTGAGCGAATCAGCTATCGCAAGTACACAACGAGCAACGGCACGGTAATGGAGAATCCAGAGGCTACCGATGTTTGGTTTTATCTCATCGACCCAAAATCAGAGAGGCTACTTAGCCGTAACGATAGCATTATCCAGGAGACGCTGCTGGAGCCAGCGGCGGCCACGGAACTGAATCTGGCCGCTTCGAGCTTGGCGCATGCCAATGCCGACGGAATCCACGCTCCGCTTCAGATTAGAGAGCAAGTGCACAAGGTATGAGAATAATATATAATAATTTATAATATAATACATATTAACATCGTACATTAAAGATCAAAGCAGCGATTGCCATCGATGATGAGGTGTTCTCCTTTACGCTGATATCCATATCCATTATTATTCTGATTCTGGGTACCATTGGCATCATATACATATGCATATCGTGGTCCAAGTAAGTAATCAACTCCGATATAAATATGACTTCTTCACCTAATTTCTATAATCCCGTGTCAGGTATAAGAACTTCAAGCAGCGCATCCGCCATTACTCGGCCCCGAGTCCAACGCGCTACGATCCGGTGATCGTAAACTCGCAGGCTACGAATTCGAGCGATGCAGTGGCCAACCTGAAGGAGTACGAAACCCAAATGCTGGCCATGGCTGTGCCACCGGATGGCGATGAGGACCTGCAGCTTGATTTCAGCGCTAAGAATCACGCTTTCTCCCTGGACAATGTCAGCTACATAACGCACAAGCCGAACGGTGCCGGGGATGTACAATCGGGCAACACTCACCTGGACTCGTCCACTGGCACAATGTCGACAATCCGCCACAACAATCTGAACAACATGAACAACAACAACAACAATTTAACATTGAACAATCGACAGAATACATTTAACCGGACTCTGGAAATTAACTCGCGCAACAATGCTAACCCCCTGGCCCTCGCCGGGAACAGCAACCCAGCCACCCTAACATTGGGTCGGATTAAGCACCATAATAGTAATCAATATCAGAATGATGGTTATAAGTTCGACTCATCCAGTCGGAACAATTTGGCCAATGCTCAAAATAATGGCTTCAGCACGTTGGGTAGGCGTGGCAACACCTTTGGCGGAATGGCCTCCTTGAACGGCGGCGAGTTTATGACCAATACGTTAGGTCGGAATAATCAGCAGAATAATCGCATATATGCTGGCGAGCTACCCATTGCCAATCCGTTATTTCAAAGGTAAATTCTAGTCAGACCTCAAATAAATGATCATCTACTTATGATTTCATTACTTCCAGATCTAACGCAGATATCAGTCAAAATCATCTGAGTTTTACCAATGAGAACGTAAGCTTTGGTAAGCGCGACTACGGTCAAATGAGTTTCTCATATCTGAACGACTTGGATCGGTCCGAGGTGGAGACAACAACGGAGCTATGAATAGTAAACTAACTGCAATTTAGTATGAAATTGGGTGTATTTATTAATGTACATATATAATTATGAACAAGTATGTCATCGCCAATATAGATATTTAGATAGTTGTGAATTCGAGCAATGTCTTAGATAATTTAACTGAATGAGCTGTTGCCATTATACTGAAAATGTTAGCCCAACAAAATGTAAATATTGTTTAAAATATTCAACATGAAACTGATAAAATTTAACTATTTTTGTACATAAGCAGTCAGCAACTGCAGTCATTAGTTTTTTGCGTACACGTAATATTAAGAAAGGGTCTATAAAAAATAAAAATTATATATAATATACATTTTTAGATACAAAATTACATGTTAGACTTTATAAAAAAAAGAAGTAATAACAAGAATAAGAAAAAATACGTTTGTATTTATGCATTTAGCAACAATAATTTTACAATAAAAATACTTTATTTTTGTAACTTACAACAAAAACTGTTATTTAAGCAAAGCTGTCAACCTGTTTTTTATTTACCTAACAATTTGATTTGAAATTTAACTGAACGAATCTTGTTTGGTTGTCTAGAGGATGAACATACATTCATCATGTTATTATGATTACTATTTATATTAATTTAGAAGTTCGAAACTCCTTTTTTTTATTTGTTTTAAACAAATTAGTATTTTAATTCTAGTATTCAATAGGATGTCAATTTCTGGTTTTCCTTTCATTGCGGCTTTAAGTATTTGAAAAATCGTTATTTAAGGCTGGTAATATGCAAACACAGTATGCTTGGGATTTAGTATGAAAGTACTAAACTATGCAACTTTTTTCTCTTTGCGCTGTTTGGTCACACAATTAAACAATTTTCGCAATCGATAAGTTAACTATTTTCGTTTCTGTTAACCGGCGATATGGCAAAGTTGGATGAGCGTATTGGATTTATTGGAGGCGGAAATATGGCCTTTGCCATTGGTTCCGGCCTGATTGCTGGAGGAATTGTTAAAGCCAGCCAAGTTATGGTATCGGGGCCGCATCTTGAAAATCTGTCCCGCTGGCGTGATTTGGGCGCAGTGACAACTGATGAAAACTACGATGTCATGGAGCACACAGATATTATTTTCATTTGTGTTAAGCCTCACATGCTAGCCCCTTGTGCAGCGCAACTCAAATACAAATACGTTCCATCGGCAAAGGACGCAAGTAAATTGTTGGTCTCTGTTCTAGCGGGCACAACATTAAACACCCTCGAGGAGAAATTCGCATTTATTGAAACTTCGGCACTAAAGATTATACGAACAATGCCTAACACATCGATGCAAGTGGGAGAGGGATGCACTGTGTACGCAGGCAACCCACACTGCTCTCACCAAGATCTAGAAAAGGTCCACTTGATGCTTAATTCGTTGGGTCTCGCTCAGCAAGTGCCAGAGACTATGATCGATGCAGTTACAGGGGTCACAGGCTGCGGACCAGCATTTGTTTACACAATTATAGAGGCTTTTGCTGATGGTGGAGTAAAGCAAGGAGTACCGCGCCAGATGGCATTACAATTCGCCGCCCAGACATTACTAGGTGCTGCCAAGACGGTGCTGCTGACTGGAAAGCATCCAGCCGTTCTGCGCGACGAGGTCTGCTCACCTGGCGGTTCAACTATTGTGGGTGTGCACGAACTCGAAAAGGGCAATCTAAGGTAAGCAAACCCTGCAGAGGGTATTGAGAAAAACATTATAGAATGGCTTTTCACTTTTCAGAGCCACAATTATTAATGCTGTGGAAAAGGCATCATTGCGGTCAGCGGAGTTGGGAAAAAAGTAAAATGCCCAGTTTAGAATGTTTGTTCCTTCTCTGTTATAGCTCTCTAGGCATATATATAGGACAAATAGTTCTATGTAAATATATTAAAGTCGGTGATATAATCAACATATAAGCATTTATTTATTCACGATCCTTTTTGCTTACATACTCTACGCATTTCGAGGGATCGGTTGGGAAGTATTCCTGGCATTTTGTCATTAATCGCTTTAGGCCTTGAATATATTTACGTTGTGTTTCGTCGTTCATAACATGCGCGACGTTTTTTGAGAAAATCTTCTCACGACCCGTTCGGGCGTGGATACCCACCATGGTGACACCAATGGGCCATGGGGCATTGCCAATAGCCATTTCCAAGTATGCATCGCTTGCCGATATGTAATTGCGGTTGAGTAAATGCTTGCAGATGTCGCGCAAGCTGTCGAGGATGTCCTCAGGCAAGGTGTGATGCTTTAGCTTGCGAAACAACGGCTTTACATACTCTTTAGTCTGCGTGTAAATCACGCGAGTCATTTTGACCTTCGTTGACATTTTCTCGTGCTTTGTGTAGTTGGCGATCTGTGCATTCCACAGTTTTAGAAGAAAGGTTAAGAGCGTTATGATGACGTCCATGTCATAGTCTTTGTTTTTGCCCATTTTTAGAGCCATCGTCTGTATACTCTCCCAGGTTATGGATTCATCCAACTCTGCAAAGTCCGACTTCTTATCCTCCTTGGCTGTGGGTGTGTTTGCAAACATTTCCTGTAGATATGCTGCATCCACTTGCTCCATAGCTTCTTGAAAATCGTTGCGGAAGCCACGGTTAGCTTCAGGCTGTGAGATTTCGCAAATTCTCAGCCTATCGAACGCCTCTGGCTCCGTCTCGCCGAACAATAAGATAGGCTCTCCACGCTCCCGCAGTCGGCGTATAACTTCTATGCGGGGTAAAATATTCTGGCCATCAGCTACAAAACTATATGCACCCTCGGTTCTGGGCTCTGCAATTTGCTCCTGTTTCTTGTATCCCACTTTTTGTAGTACTTCCTCGGTGTCTTTAGCACTTAGGTCGCCCCGACGAAAAAACTTCTTTTTGTCGTCCACTAACTGTTTTTCTTCTAATAACTTGCGTTTTCGAGCTATTTCTGCTTTTAATATGTCCATTGTGTATTTATTTACATCAAACGATTTCTATAAACAATAGCCAACAAATGGCAGCACTCAATGTGCCCGAAATAGATGAGAGATCTAGTATGCAAGTATTAGAGTGACCATAGGCTAAATAGGCTAGCATTTAAAATATACTGAAAATAAAAAGTGATGCATCCATCCCTGGCTACCATATGATATCAAAATTGAGACAAAGTTTAGAAAGACATTTGATTCGAGAATACGCAGTTTTCTGCGATAATACTATTATTTTGCATCAATAATATACATACAAGATGCCAAAGAAAATGGGAATGAATTCAAAAGCCGTAGAGGCGCGTGAGCGTAAGGATGCTACCAAGAAAGCTGCCAACGAACGCAAGGCCAAGGAAGCAGAAGATCGTCTGTGGCAAGACGATGACAAAAATCTGGCTAAAAAGCAACAACGACGTGAAGAAGAAGAGAGGAAACGGGCTGAAGCTGCACGTCGTAAAGCAGAATCAAAGGCCCTGTTGGATCAGGAGCTTAGCTCAATTAAAACGCACGGTAAACAGCCATTGGCAAAAATAAATCGTCAACAAATATTAAGCGAGATGGAGAAAAAACAACGTGTAATGGATGCAATCAATGAAGCTAACAAACCTGCAGCGGCTCGCGTGGTAGTTCAACATCACATTATTGAGGAGAATTTAAACAGATCTCTGGCTGATACCGACATAGCCACAAATGTTGACGAGGCATTGGCAGTGCTAAGGTAAATGTATATAGTAAAAATTTATAATATTTGTTAAAATATTGAATGACAATTATCCTTAATTTTAGTGTCAAAGACGAGGAAGACAAACATCCAGAGAAGCGAATGCGAGCAGCTTATAAGACATTCGAAGCCGCTAATATGCCTCGCATCAAAGCTGATAACCCCTCATTGCGTATGTCTCAATGGAAGCAAATTTTGATGAAGGAGTGGAACAAATCGCCGGACAATCCTTTCAATCAGGCTTCTTAAAATCGCGCAGCCCGTTTCTTAATTTATGAATTTACCGCACTACGTTGTTCAATTGTCGAATTGCCAAGCAGAAAGATCCCATCAATTGAAGTAATCAAATGAAAGCTGTAAAATTATTATTTAGTTTGTGATTATAATTTTAGAATTTTAAATTAAAATTTATATTATTAGAATGAAGAATAAATGAACGAGCTTTATTTATTATTCAGACAACATTTTTTATTTTAATTTTCAAACTTAACATGTAAACAACTATTCCATTGCAGAAATCATAACTACGCAAGCGTTTATTTCCGAGTAACCTACAGGTCTGTTGTGCAACAAAACGACCAAAATTAAAAAAAAATTTGATGATACCTATGTTTGCATTACCTTCATTTAGGTGTAGACATAATTGACGATTGCTTTTCTTTCCTCCATTAAATTGTTAATGTTTTGTTACCTCGTTTTTTTACTCTGATCTAGTTCCGGTTATGTAGCTTTAAGTGGCTTTGAATAAGATATAATTGTATTATTAAATTTCCGCTTTCACTTACAGGCATACATAATTAAAGGATATAAAAAATTTGGGTGTTTCATGTAACACATACGCTTTCTTTTTATAAATATTGATATTTGCAATTTTGCTATAACTTAATTTTACACGCATTTTATGTAGACTTTCTATTTTAAATTTGAAAATACATAGCTAAAATTGACTCCTTCACTGTTGACTGCTGCTGCCCATGCCCAAGGTCCATCTGTTACGTTAACAGCAAGAGCAACAGTCGTAACAGCTTTCTGTTAGCTGAGCTGCTGGCGCATAGCTCATTGAGCCATTCATTTGTCGGTGCTTTCTTTTTTAATAAAATTTCTTTAGACGCATCGCTGCTTCATTCTTCATTCAGTGCGAGACCGTTAACAGTAGCAGACGCGTCGTTCAACCCAGAGACAGTTTATATGTACGTGCAAGAGAAATGAAAACTTGAAATCAATACGATATTGAAATTTGCTCGGCGTACGAGTGTGTCGGGTTCAACTAAAAAAAAAAAAAAGAAGTAAATAAACTGTCAGGCGGTCGATACGAACGAACGAAAGACGTGGTAGGAAAAATAAATTGAATTTTGTATGCCATCGCCATCGCCATCGGAAATCGCAAACGGTAATTGTGCCCTCTCGCTCTGCAGTGTATTTAAGCGTTCGTACCGCGAGAGGACTTAATTCGAATTATGAAAGGATTGATTACAGCTATTTATGAAATTTGAAAACGAAACTAAAACCGTTGAGTGAAATTGCCCATTTCCAATAATATTGGTCACGTATGAAAAAAGTCTTTACAGTTTTATCTAATTAGTATTCCCTATACCACTCCCAAAACGCATTTTCTGTAAGAATGCCAAAATTAAACGCAAATTACTCAAATCTCACTTCAAGCTTACTGCGCGGCCCATTCTAAAAGCTTCTGTCATTAGTTTTTCGTTACATTCTGTGCCCATTAAATTGTTCATTCTTGTTGTTGTCTATAGCTAAAGTGGAACTCTTTAATCTAGAGCTCCTATTATTTACTTCTTTTTTGTTGCAATTGTTGCTTGACCCTAATACATATGTATGTCTCTCCATTTGCTTTTTTCCTCAACTATTCATGCTGCACTGCCCTAATGGACATATAAACACTATGTAGAAATGTGTAACGATTTCTAAAATTACATAAATATACATAAGCACAGATTTGTATTCGATCTAGCGTTTCCCTAAATAATGTGCACAAACTCACTAATCATTGCGTGATTTGTATTTCTTCTGTTATACAACAAAAAAGATGTGGATGCATAATTTTACACGCGAAAGATATTACACAGATAGATAGAGAGAAACAGAGTTTAGTATTCTAAAAGTAAACAAAGTGGGTTATTAGATCACAGGGTGGCCAGCCGAACTGCGATTGAGGTAAGGCATGACTTCACAGAGACCGGTGCATCGATGCATTTATATCAATGCCGCTGCTCTCTGTGAGGCAACTTAGGTTTTTCACTCTTGTGCTATAAAGTTAAGCGACCATAAACAGATACGCAAGTATTTAGCAATCTTCAGGTGGGTTTTCGTTGAGATCTGGGCAAATAGGAAGGAAAGACTAAGACTAAATGGGCTATGAAAATCATCTATATTTGTTTTGTGTTTATAGTAATTACAGGGTGAGATAGATAGACAATGAGTGTGTGTGTGAGAGAGAGAGAGAGAGAGAGAGAGAGTCTGAGCAAATCTTGACTGGGGCTTTCATATTACTTTTTACATATACATATATTTAGCATTTGTCTAGTGTTTTAGCAATTAGACTCTTTCCCTCGATATCGAAGCATTTAATGTGACAGCTTTGATTGACCACTTACTTACTCCCAATGTATAATTTCTTTGTGACTAGCCATTTGTGAACACCAACACGAACTTCAATGCTTTTACGCAAGCTAACGACAATTTCACCATTTCTTTTGAATTTCTTCGTGTTTTTTATTTTTACCAATCTATGAATAAAAACATAACTTTATATACGTTTTGGTCTGTCATCTTTTGCGCAACATTATTTGCAGTCAAATGCGGTGCATTTCTGTCTCAGACTCACAAGATTCGAATTTTGATTTCTTGCTGCTTTTGGATAGTAAGATCTTAAGCTCTTGATTGTAGCAGTTACCCAAGTCAGCAAATTTATAAAATTCCAGCCAACGAACTGAAACCTGCTGTTGAGCTACCACAACGACAAACCATAAACAATCATATATGCATACATACTCATAAACACACATATATACATATGTATATTTGGAAACGTCATGTATGAGTATGTTTCGGATGTATGTATGTAAATTTGAGTGACCGAAGCCGATTACGCACCTTAAAAAGTGAAAATTTTGGCATTGTATTATTTTGCTTTCTGTTTCCACGCGATCTGCTCATTTCGCAAAGAAAATGACGAATGCTACACAAACGATACGGACTTTGGTTAATTTAATGAGATTCGTGGAGTTGAGTCACCATCGAAAACTATTTGTTTTTTCTCTTACCAGTGGAATCAGTTCATCAAATTTAATAATAATTATACCAGCATCACTATTCAAATAATTTAGTCTGAAAAGTGTATTGCCAATAGCTAGTTTGCCATTCGACTGGAATTCGAATGTTTACCAGCTAAACAATGGGCAAACACTGAGACCAGACCAGGCCAGGCCCAGCTGACTGTCCACATTCCATTCTCGAATACGAAGAAGTCACCGCGGCAGGCCGTCGGTACTTGGTCTTTAACGAGGTCAACTTTTTAATGGTTAGACGCTGCACGGCTGGCTACATGGAGTTTGTTTTGGTTGGGATTTAGCCAGGTAGCGTAAATTAATATAAAGTAAATGTGCTGCCGATAAGAGACCGTTGTACAGAAGAACAAAATAAGTTTCACTGATTTTCATTACATTTTTACGGGCCTTTCCGCTCTGACTCTGGCTCTCGCATTGGCTTTGGCTCTGTCTTATGGCTCTTGCCACTTAGTTTTAGCTTCTCTATATAAAAATTTGTTAGCTTTTTTTTTTCTTTTTTGTTAAATTTGTGGTTAAAGTTGAGCATAAAGCCGTCTGCGCGTGTGCGCGGCGTCAGAAGTTGAGCGAGAAATTTTTGACTGTCAAAAGTGAAAGTTGCAGCTGCAGCCAATGCCGTTCGTTGAAAGAAATGTAGAAAAGCGGTAGCCGCGGCCCCGCCTGATGAATCAACTTACCAGTGCCAGTTTAAAGTTGAGGCTTGCGAAGCGCCTTCATTTGCTTGTAAGCTCTGTTTTCTTTGTTGCTCAACAATCATTTAAGACTCGACATTTTCGTTATTATGTTTTGCGTTTCATATTTTGAAGCGGCAATATTATATTCAAGCACCCATTATCCTCATTATACGATGTACTTTATAACAAATTAGGCTTCGTTGTCTGGCACATTCGTCTGGGTGCGTGGGAAACACAGAAAGCATCATTGCTGCCTAAGCAGCTCTAAATGCATTTCAAATGCATCGCTCTAATCTAATATTAAAAATAAACATCTTTTCGGCAATACTAAATTACGAAAAGTGGGTCAATTATTCAGAGAGTTCAGCGAACTTTTGCCCATATGCCTCCATGAGCAGCCGTAGAGAGCGAGCAATGCCAAGGCATGCCATAATTCATTTCAATATTTAAATTTAATTAAATTAGCACTTTCTACACGTTTTCCCCTGCAACGGCTATGGCTATAGCTATGGCTGGCTAGCCGTAAAATTTGATTTGGCCGGTGGTTCATATTGAATAATAATTTTAAACAATTAGCACAGTGACCCCAATGCATATATTATTATAAAAAACAAAACCAAAACCAAATTGGCTGTCCAAAGTGCTGGCAGGTGAAGTCGAATCGGAAGAAATGAAAATTTCATTTCTTAGTGACAATATAGCATAATCAAACACATTTAACTACTGCAGTACATCAATGAGTTGAACGTTCGTGTCTTAAGTCTTTCGTTTGCCACCCTAAAGCTGGTGGCTGGCCGGCGAGCGAGGAATGCTTCATTGACAGGTTTTTCGTGTTTTAAAATAAATTGAATTGAATACATTGGCTTCAATTCGTGCCCCATTGAAATCAATATATCCTGTAGCTTCTAAAATGTGCAAAAGGGTATGCAGGAGCAGCATAAGCTATGTTATGAGAAATATCAAATGAGTTTAAGAACAGCATTTGAATGCAAATATTGCTAGATCAGTGTGTAGCAGCATTAGTTCTGTATACATTTATTCATAGGGTATATCTTAGTTGACTATTGCTTATTATCTAAAAATTTCCTGTTATTTTTTAGCATGCTGATAGAATCAACTGTCAGACGGTTGTCGTCGATGTAGTTATCGATGGTGCGTAAACAAGTTTACCTAAAATATGACCCATTTACCCAGTTAACAAGTGTTCTGATCAGCGATATGGAGCCATACGCATAGCAATGCAAATACCTTCTGCTTAGGCATCTCAATGTTGATTGTAAAACTAGCTGTGTAAAACGCAATTACTCGAAGACATGGTCTTTGAGAATAATTGACTATTCGTTTGACAATTTAAATGAAAGTTGATTGGTATCTCCACGCACCACTTGCACTCGCTGAAAGCAGCAATAAAACT